AAAAAAACTCTAGAAGAATTCAACTCCAGAAGGTTGCAGAAATGTAGCCTCAAGATCACATGACAAGTTCTCTAAGACCAAAGAAGCAGACCAAGGTTTTTTAGTTTTGTGTTTTTGAGAATAGAAGGAGGAATAAAATTCCCGGAAGAGTCATACTGAGAAAAGGCCAAAGGAGACTCTGATGAACCACTTCCTACAAGAGCCTTCTTTGTTTCAACACCCATCTACTAATAGCAAACTCACCCTTCTGGATGCTGCAAAACAGAAACCATCAATTCCACTGCCAGGGCTCCTGCAATCATGGCCAGTCCTGGACGACTCACAGTGCACTGCTGGTCCAAAGTCCGATCTCTGGTTGACTGCAAAGAAACAATCATGGATGTGTGCTGAAAGTTCTATTCCACTCAACTGTTTGAAGCATGAAACTCCTCCATGATAAAGATATAAAATATAACCAGATGCTCACTATTGGCAAAAAACATCAGCCTCAAATAATAACATCATGTCCCGGGATTATCAAGATAAACAAAATATACGATTTAGGTAACTAAATGAGGCAATATGCTAAAAAAGTATTAGAGGCCTAAACAAATTAAAGATTGGGGGATATCGACCATAAATGAGGGCTTAACTGCCTCCTGTAGTGGAGCTATATCATGTGCTCCTTTAACTGACTCAGTTCAACTGTATTGTGCTTGATGGTTCAGAGGCAAAGACACAGAGAAGAATTTGAATGGGGCAAGTGATTCTTCCCTGCCATTCTGTTAGTGCCTCAGAGTGACTATGAGATAGGATCAATAATTTGCCATTATTGCAGGCCTCGGTTCCTATGTGCCTCTTACAACATGGACGTCCATCATCCTGAGGATGATCTTAGGGCTTAAATACAAGTATTTTTGTTATAACATGTCTCCAGACACAAGCCTTCAACCAAAGAAATTCTAACCTTTGAACTCTGAACAAATTAAGAGGTCATTAGGGATAATTTTGACTCTAGGAAAATTTCACCTTATGAACAGATGTGACTTTACTGCAATGGACCCTTGATCCTACTTGTTGGAAATAACTAAATAACAAGACCAGCTGTGTATTATAGCACCATAATGAAGATCATAATGCCATCCTTCTTCACATAAGGGAACGGTTATCTTCTTTTCCTTATTTTTGAAGGACATAAAATCCAGTCGTCCAAAAGAGGAATGAGTTATTAAGAAACAAGAGGAAAATAGAGGGGATCATAGAGAAAACATCTCTTTTGCTTCACTGGAAATTATTACCTGTTCTGATAAAAGACTATTCCTACAGACTGACTTAGGTGGTGTCATTAAAGCTGTCAAATGTTACATTTGTACAGTGTGGTGCAGGCTGTTCAAAGCACTTTCACACTGGACCCACTGTACACTGTGAGTTGACAGGGCAAGTATTCTTCCCTCTCCTACTGGTGTTGCCAGATAAAATACAAGATGTGCAGTTACATTTCAATTTTAGATAAACAGCATATAATTTTTAGTATAAGTAGATCTTAAATATTCCATGAGATATGCTAAAAATTATTCATTATTTACCAGAAATTCAAAGTTGGCTGTGAATCTTGTATTTTTCTTACTTTTTAAATTTTTTTAAATCTACCACTAAGAGTCATACTGTATTTTTACTTTCTAAATCTGACCAGTCTACACCCGACTCCCATTTTGTAGCCTAAGAGACTTATTCAGAATTACCTATGAGGCAGTGTCAAGGCCTGAACTTGCATCTGGGTCTTTAGAATCCTCATTAATAATGCCCTCTTTACTACGATAAGCACAGGAGACAATGCCAAGTACTAACAGGGACCAGTATATGCTGCAGCTTCCTCACTGAGCTTTCCACTGACATGGTCTGTAGCTGCATTTATACTGGTGAACAAGGAACAGCTGTACAGTTGATGATACCAATCACGGCTCATACTGGGATAATGCCATCTCCCCCAAATTAGAGAATTCTTCTCTTTGTTAAAAGACAATGTTTAAATCATCATAAATAAAAAGAGCTGGGTCTCTGGGCATCTACCTCAGTGCACAAGATGGTCACGGGAAACATTTGGAACCACAAAGAAATCCACTTACATCTCCTGGGGCCACCACATCATTGCAGAAATAGCAGCCGAGTTTGTAACCAGGGATATTGGCAAAAAGCGAAGAGCCCAGGAGGTCTGCAGATGTCACAGGGTGGCTTGGACACAAATCCCCAGCTCCCTGCTGCTTTGGTTTCTTCAGGCCATGTCTCATGACAACAAATGTGTCAAATCCCAAGGCAGCATTGATGACCAGCTGCGGGTTTCAAGGAATAAAAGAACACAGTTAAGAGACACATATATTTTAAGCTATGGCTAATTTCATATTTGGTCAACATTTAAAAATTT